ATATCGATTTTTGAAATGAAAGCTCATGAAACTCAAAACAATTTATAGAACAACCATAAACTCTATCATTTGATTGCTTTGACTTTTTGATTAGTCATGAATCTCAAAATAGGATAATTCTAGTATGATATATAACAAGACTAGATTTTAACCCGGATGATTTAATTTTAAAGTTAGTATAAAAATATTTTGTAAATTGTATCTCCTTATAACATATTTATTTATATTATAGTTTACAATTGTTATTAAGTAACGGTATACCACGAGTCCACGAGACAATTATTAATAAACTGAGGATTTAACTCGTATTAAAGCGGTATATAAATATTGATTCAAATTCGTCCGCCATATAAATTCTTTCCGAAATATTAACCCGTTCCGTAATTTCTTAACCTGTCCCGTGATTTGTTTTTATTTTAAAATTTTAAAATTATTTATTATATATAAAAGTTTACAAATCATATCATCCTCTAAGACCACGACATTATATCACGGGACAATTTTGGTTTTATACAATCTTTTCTAAATGAGACTGATTTGATATATCTAATATTTGTAGTATTAAAAAATAAGGATTTAATCTGTATTGAAGCGGCGGATTAATGATATTTTAATCTTTTTATTATTGTTGATTCAAAAATCCGTCCCTCCAAACCCGTTCGGCCAAAAAACTCATTTATTTTATTAATGATCTTATTTATGATATGATTCTGAATCATTGTTTAAATATTTTAATCGATGTAGAACGTTGAACACACATTTTCGTCAATTGGATAATATATGTCCGTTTTTTAAATTTTGAATAACAGTTATGGAGAAAAAAATTGATTTTTTTCTACTTTATGTATTACTAGAAAAGGACCCGTCCGATGAACGGGTTTAATTTTTAAAAAAAAACTAAAATCAAATTTAACAAAAGATTAATTAACAATGTTGTAAGTAAAAATTTTCTTACAAAAGTAAAAAAAAATATTTACTTTTTCACTGTTGCATTGTTTCTTTAACCACTAAAATTATTAATTCAAAATTTTTTCGAATGAAAGATATATCACATAGCAATAACTCATAGTATACTATATGAATAACTAAATTTAAAAATATTCATCATAAAGTTGGTGACTGAAACCAAAGTGGTTCCTAATGAGACACGTTAAAAATATAAATATGATAAATCGACTAAATCTCTTAGTCTTCCAAGCTAACGTTTCAGGTTCGATTCTTATATACTCGATTGTAATGACTTTATTGATCAATCAATAAAAATTGATAAATTCAAAAAATTATAAGCGAGATGATATATGAATCTTATATAATTCAAATATGAACATAGAAATTTAAATAAACAATTTTGAAATAGTATAATTAAATTCAAAATATCAAAAACAAAGAAGAAGCATATAAGTTCTTACATATTCAAGAATTTCAAATAAACAATATAAAAATTTACTTAAAATCATCATATATTTCTAATTAGAAAATAAAATTGATATAAATAATATAAGATTGTAATTTAAATCATGACATTGTCGCTATCTAAAATCATTAGAATTTTGATATATTATAAATCTTATATTAAACTGAACGTAGAAACCAAAATAAATAATTTAAAGTTACAACTGTTAAACTAAAAATAAAAAATTATAAACACGATGATATATGAATCTTTGATAATTAATATGAAAAGAGAAATTGAAATAAACAATCTAAAAATACTACAATCATAATTGTTGGTGTCGGATCCCGCACTAGTAGTCCGGGACCAACCAAAGATTGCCACGCAGTCAAGACGAAGGCCCACAAGGGATAAGGCCCATTAGGTCTGTAAGATAAGGGTGCGGTCGAGGTGGTGACACCACAAAGAAAGTTCGAATTGATTGCACCTCGATACGAGTCGAAGTCATAGTTAAGTCGGTTCAAGGTAATTTGGACTGAGAGGCGAGGCCCATGAAGGTCGGAATCAATTCAAATTCAAACGTTGAGCATTAAATTCTGAGACCAAAACGGATACATTTAAGAAAGAATAATTGTACTTAATTAGCCACTTAAATGTTGTTTTTTATGTATAAATATAATGGCCAAGGGCCATGTAAAGGGGATCTTTTCCTCGAGCAAGAAATACTATAGCAATTTTTGTATCAATTCATAGCTTTTTACATATTCATTTTTTGTCCCTCAAGAGTAATCTTTCCCGCTTAGTAAAAATACTTGAGTGTGTGAATCCGACATCCACAATAATTAAGGAAAAAAAAACACAGTTAAGTAAAAAAATATTACAAAAAGAAAAAAAAATTTGATCTCTCAAAAAATAAACTCAAATAAATAATATGAATATTAGTTTAATTAAATCATCATATATTCTAATTGGAAAGGAAATTGAGATAAATAATATCAAATTTTAAATTAAATCATGATAAAATCTTTGACTGATAACGGTTTATAATACTATTAATTACTAACTTTGAGAAACAGAAATAGAACATATTAGTTTTATAATAACATATGTTTCCTTTTTAATAAATTTGCCTGATTTTTTCTTGTTTAATTGAAATATATATTTCTAATTATAAAAAACGTATAATTTCCTTATTATTATATTTTGACATTTTTTAATTGTTTATAGAAATATTAATTATTTACCATTATATTTTATATTTTTAAAATTATTTAAATTTATAATTATTTACAATTATCTTTTTTTATTATTTTAAAAAGGAAATTTTGTTTTATACGTGTTAAAATTTAAGATCGATAGATTTTCCACGTGTTACGATCGTATGAGTTATTAACTTTGAAAACTATACTTTATATAATAAGATATGATGATTCAAAACAGTTAAAAACAAATCAAACAAAGATGATAGGAGAATCATAATTATAAATCTTAATCAAATCTTCTAAATATCTAATTATTAAATATGGAATATTCGGTGTATGAGTTGGGTTAAATATAATCCGACCCAACAAATTTTTTGTGAAAGATTTTTTGAAATGGATCGGATATCCAAATAACCCAGAAGCATTTTTACTCATCCATCACCAAAGACGAAAGTGACTGTAAAAATACTAGTTATTTTATATTTTTAAAATTATTTAAATTTATAATTATTTACAATTATCTTTTTTATTATTTTAAAAAGGAAATTTTGTTTTATACGTGTTAAAATTTAAGATCGATAGATTTTCCATGTGTTACGATCGTATGAGTTATTAACTTTGAAAACCATACTTTATATAATCTCTATACTATTAAAAGAGAAGTACAATTGAAAATGGGTCGGGTTAAAATCAGAAAATTGACCCGAAATTCTGAAATCGGATCTTTGAAATTTTTTTGGAATATAAATTCGAATTAATAATGAAAAATTGAAATAAAAACAAATATTTATGGAAATCAAATAAAATCTGATTGTACTTATGGTAACTAATAATAAAAGCATATTCCAAACAATATTATACATTAATTACGTATAATAAATTTGTTCATATATTTTTGGGACTAATTTCATAACAATCAACGTTTTTGTCGTTAATTTCGCTCATTTTAGCCAATTATCATTAATTGAAAGATATTTTACTTGCTTCTAAAGATTTCTAGAAAATTTATCACAAATAACCCATCTGTTTTATAAATTAAATTGATATTTTTATTTTGGTCATGTAAATTAAATAGATATTTTTATTTTGGTCGTGTAAATTAAATAGATATGAAATCCATGTAACTAATTTTAATTTAATTAGATTAATCAAAATTATGATATTTTCATACATATAGCTTACCTAAAAAGTTTAATTTTCAATTTATAAAGATTTCTTGAATATGATTTTAGAATTATTCAACAAGATGATAAGTATTTATTAAATTTGTGAATCATGAAAAAAAAATTAATTTTTAATCATTATACTTCATCTTTCAATCTCTCATCTAACAAATAAGATACATATTCTATTATTACTATGTCCAAACTTCATTTTGTTGTATGACTAAATAATATTCCCATTAGAACTGTCAAAGCGAGTTGATTCGTCCCGTTAAGTCCGTTTTGCGATAGACAAAAAATATTTTGACTTGTAGTTAGTCGGTCCGCACGACCCGCGGGTAGCATATATGAAATACAAACCCGTTCCGCGAATGTATGCGGATTTGCGGGATTGTCCATGGATTTTGTTTAAATAATTTTAAAGTAACCAAAATTTAAAATACTACTAAAATAAATAAATAAATCAAAATACTATTAAAAGTTTGTTTAAATTACCGCATGTTGAATAAATTATAATTTTATCAATAAATACTAATATGCGGGCTGATCCGCCAACCCGCGGATGAAAACTGATTAAACCTATGACCCACTGCGAATTAATCCATGTGGTCTGCTTATTTGTGGGTTTAATATATTTTCTCAAATCTGCTCCATAGTGAGATGATGTGGGCTCGACCCGCGGTTTTTGACCTATTTTGACTGCTCTAATTCTCATGAATCGTCTAATTTTAGAATTTTTAAACACAAAATTCTATTTTGTAAATCATAATTAATACGATGGGTATATTTATAAACAATTTTACATTTTCTCTACAATTCGTTATTATGAATATTTATAAGTATACTACACGATTCGTTCTACTAAAAAACACACAATATTAAACGCAACGTATGTAAACCAATATTCTCCCGCGGTGGACCGTGGGTCCGATCCTAGTAAGATATGATAATTCAAAACAGTTAAAAACAAATCAAACAAAGATGATAGGAGAATCATAATTATAAATCTTAATCAAATCTTCTAAATATGTAATTATTAAATATGGAATATCCGGTGTATGAGTTGGGTTAAATATACTCCGACCCAACAAATTTTTTGTGCAAGATTTTTTAAAATGGATCGGATATCCAAATAACCCAGAAGCATTTTTACTCATCCATCACCAAAGACGAAAGTGACTGTAAAAATACTAGTATTGATAGGCTAGAAGCCTAGAAGAGTCCTCGCATCGAAAAATTGTGTTTTTTTTTTTTTTTTTTTTTTTTTTTTTGCTCAACATCAACTATTCATTCACCAAATCGATATTACAAATCATTTGACCTCGACAAACTTCACTCAAATACAATGATTTAGTCAAATAAAACCCTGAAACACTAACGGATCCAACGCTACCCAACTGAAAATCATTGTATTTTCCAACCACAACGAGATGAATTACACCACGACTCTAAGTGAAATCATCTCTTAAACCACCTAAATTCACCCAATGACACGAAAACAATTACTAACACAAAGAAAATCAAATCCTCTCCTGAGATCCAAACCAATTCCAAGCTATTAGTCCCTCATGATCCGAGTGTAGAGCGTGTCCTAATAGCATCTACGCCAAAAGCGCAACTTCAGAAGGGTTTTGACTCCTCGGCTTTCACTATTCCGGTCCTAAGCCTAAAACGGACATACTAATCCGACTGATACTCAACCGGATTAACCGGGCTGAGACAAAAATTTCTTGAAGCCGGGGCATTAATGGAGAGCTTTCCTTCTTCTTCTACAATCCAAATGGTTTTCTTATCTCCCCTACATCTAATTTATTCTCTGTCGGGAGTCGTTGGCGGCAGCATAGCTAGAAAGCCTTGAATCATGTAAATCTGCCCGGGATCGATAGGATCTTCACAGCCAAGCTCGAAAAACCACGATTCGCCTACCTCTGTCCCTTCTTAACACTGAGCCGCCGCCACCAAAGAGGCTCATCGGAGGAGAGGTACCTCCGCGAAGAGACTGACGAAGAAATCCACCAGATCTGCTGCCGTCGTCGAGAGTTATAGTTCCCCATTGTAGATCCACCAACGAACCTCCATCTGAGAAAACTACCTCTGCTCGCCGTCGACTTAAAAGTCTCTGATTAAGCCACAAAGAAGGAAGAGCCGCCGCCGGCTAAAAGAAATCGATACAAAGGAAAAAGAAAAAACTAAAAAAGAGAAGAGAGGAAGAAATCTGACGCCGACATATATCACTTAAAATAATATGTAAGAAACATGAACCAATTTATTCATTATTGCTAGGTTTTCGTTGGAATTTCACGAATTAACACAAATACACGTGATAATATATATCACATTAACATTTTCTAATCTGAAACATTGGATAAAAAGATTTTATCAAAAAAAAAAAACATTGGATAAAAAGATTTTTTAGTTATTTTACATATAAAGTTCGTTCGTTTAAATATGTATATATATAAATAAAAATAGAAAAATAACAACTCCTTGAACTTTTAATTTGCAATGGGCCACCATCGGGGAATTAAACAACACATTCCTACCAATTTGGAAAATTGGTCCCTATGAATGCTTATAAATATATATAGTAATTAGTAAAGATCATATACTTAAATTTTTAGCCTAGAGTGTTTGGAAGAATCTGCTGCTGACTCCAGCTCTGTAAAGCTTCATCACATCACTTTCTCCGGTTACGTGAACCTCGTTATGAGCCGGAACAAACAAAACATCTCCTCGGTTAACCAACAATTGAGATGAACCGGTTTGCAATTTCCCTTGACCTTCAATAACCAAATAAACCGAAGGCCCCGGTACTGCCGGAAAAACCGTCGAATTTCCACCAGGTAGATCGCAATGGTCCACTTCGAACTCATCAAATGGAGGAAGATACCTTGTAACGTAAGGAGTTAGAGGAAATCCTTTCAGAATCTCCGGGTAGCCCTGAACAAATTCCGGTACGATTAATCAATAAACCAAACAAAGAAAACAGTAACAATTACTAGTTTGGTTTTGATATTCGGTTTATCAGCTGAACCAAAACATTAACGTGTAAAGAAAGGTACTAAAACGTTAGCGTGTAAAGAAAGTTACCAATTTGTAAGTAAGCATAGAGCAAAGGGTTTGAACATCGCGGTGTTTTGGAGTGAGACCAGCTCTAACAACGTTGTCTGAAGCCGCCATACACTCGACACAGTCGCCGGAAATGTAAGCGTGTGGGTCGTTTGCGTCCAAATACAAAGCCTCTCCTCGATTAAGCTTGACGTAGTTAAAGAAAAAGGCTGAAATCACACCTATGTCACCTGAGTACTGTTTCTCCAATTCCAAAACCAAATTCTCTTTCTCCGACAGTTCACGGTGTTTGGTCTCCGAGATCAGACGATTCTTCATCCGAGATACCACTTGCTTCGTCTCATTGTTGCTTGCGGACATCAACTGCGTGAAGATCAACCGGACAACGGATTTGACTCTTTCGTCTTCATCGTGTTCATGGACGTTGAAGATTTGATCTGCAGCTTTGCTTCCCACAAGCTCTGTGATCTCTGGTACATTGGTGATAACCTCCTTCAACTCCTGATTCAATTATAGGCACAAAACCAGTTCAATTTTTCTTGTAGCACAAGTAACAACCAAGATGTTTAGCTATCAAGATTTTTCGGTTTTTGTACTACAATAATCAATATTAAACCTAATTTGATACTTCTATGCGATTTTGGTTTTAGATCCAATCGGTTGATCACGATTGAACAATAAAACAAAACAATCAAACCGGTTTCTTTCGATCAAACCGGTTTCTTTCGATCAAACCGGATCTATAAAGAACTTAAACCCTTGTGTAATTTCGGTTGATCTGAACCAAAAACTGACCTAAATTTTTGCAAAGAATGATAGACAGAGAGAAAGATCTGAAATTGTGTACCTTAAGAGGTACGAAACCACAAAGGGCTTGAAAAGGAGTAACAGCAAGAGCAATCTCAGGCTTGTGGTTATTGTCTCTGTAAAGAAGAGGATCTTCTCTATGCAATTTCTCTGCTAAAGCTTTATTTGGATGTGCTTGAATCGACAATGCTTTCGTCACTGACAACACCTAAAATTTTCACATTTCAACACCAAAACACTTCTCTTTAAATTCAAATCTATATGCTTTAAACTCTTAAAAACACGCAAAAAACCCCCAAATCTTTTATTTGAAAAACAGAGTCAAATGTGAACATCTTCAAAACAGAACAAAAAAAAAAAAAAAAAAAACAGAAATTTTTTAGATGTGACAATGATTTTCACAATTCAATACCAAAAAAATTATCATTAGATTCAAAACTATGCTTTAACTTTAAAAAAAAACAAATTTTTAACAAAAAAAAACAGAGTCAAATGTAACATCTTCAAAACAGAGGAAAGAAAACAGAGAAATTGACCATAAAACAGACTCTGAAAATGTATATTTTGATTGGTAGATATATACGTGTTTATATAATAAGATAATACCCAAACCTGTATATTTTAACTTTTAAAAACACACAAAAATCCAATTTATTAATAAGAAAAACAGAGTCAAATGCAACATCTTCAAAACAGAGCAAAAAAAACAGAGAAATTAACCATTACCTTGAAGAGGAAAGGAAGATCACAACCCCACTTGTCCACGACTTTAGACCCGAGTAAATCCGGATTATCCAAAACCCACGACTTCAATGTAACCATACATTTATCAGACCCACCATGACCCAACGACCCGAATTCAACATGACTCGGTCCAGACTCATGAGTCCCCATCCAAAACTCGGCGTGAGGAATCTCCGGGTCGACTCTTTGTCCTGTATTAGCCTCTTGGAGTCTCGCCACCAATGAGTCTGGTCCGAGTTTGCCCCATTCGTAGTTCTTCACGAAACATCTCAGCCGTTGGATCTCTTCACCGCCGGTTAACTTGGTTTGATCGTGACCGTTCGTTTGGATTGCGTCTGCTCCCATTTTTTGGCCGTTTATTTATTTATTTTCTTCGCTGAATCAGAGAATAATAGATTGATGGGCTTTTCTTGTAATCTATATATAATGTAAATGAAATATATTCCTTGTAAGAGGGTTAAAATTCAATCATTTATATATGGAAAGAAGAATATTAATATAGAAGCAATATAGTAAATATTGTATGTGTTTCTTTATGTAGAAATAAAGATATGCATTAATTAACTAATTTTGTAAATGTTTTTAGAAATCGGTTCACGAGAATTCCTTGAATTAAATTATGAAAAGTATGAATTAACAAAAAAACAATTTTTTATTATGAAAAGTATATACTTACGTGTGAACAAGAAGAGAATTAATGCCTCATCTTTAAAACATATCTATGACAATCAGTAGACGTGGAGGAGAAATCTGAAAAATAGTGGTAAAGACATTTTTGGAAGATAATTTGAGTTTTTTATTGTATAATTATAATAGAAATTGCGTGTTTTATTTTGGAAATATAGAATTTGAGAAAAGATAAGATAAGGAAGAAGGATCAAGAAAAAAGTTTGAGATGCGCATGAGTCAAAAATATGCTAATAAATTGATTTTTTTTTCCAAACTTGCCATAACTTTTGTTCTCCTTATCATATATTAGTTGAACATTGCTTGCCACTCAATATTTTGGTTGGGGTTAAATTTTCTCAGAATAAAAAACGAATATTAGCATACCACATAAATATTTTGGTAAGAACTAAAAGAAATTACATGAATTTTGGTAATAAAAAGTCAAATCAAATGATTTCAACATTAGTTGATACTACCATATTTTTAAATTCCTGAATATTGTAAACATATTAAATATCTAGTACGTAAAGTTCTTATAACTTCATGAGAAATAAATGGGTCAAGCTGGAAATTTAGAAAGGTAGAAGTCAATGGCTTTCTTGTGGAAGTTCTCTTGAAAAGTATCAATGATCTATTTACATGTGACATACTTCCTCTTCTGAAATGACATAATTTAAATTTCTTCCTTTATTTACAATTCAACATTAATACCTTTTTTTATTTTTGTTATCACTTGCTTGGTTTGATAAAGAAATAACATTAATAGCAATCCAACTGTATATGAAGCCTCATTTTTCTTCGATTACAGAAAATATAATATACGCAAATATAACCGCTCCATATGCAGATTTAAAATTTTAAACTTTATCTATAAACCCCAATAAAATATATAATATATCATATTAATGTAGTTTGATAGAAAGTGTTATTTTTGCGAAATCCGGATATCAAAACTAAAAATAGTATAGTTACAAACGAAATTATTGAATTCAAAACCAAAATCTTAATTTATTCTTCATTTTTAATATTTATTATTACACATGAAAGCATGCTTTGGGAATTTTTTTAAAATGGATTTTTTTTTTAAAATTATTTTGTTATGTGATAAAAGATAATATGCTTCATAATAATAATACATAAAAAAGGATATAAAACAATTCTTGAATATAAATCTAAAACTATAAAAATATGTACAAAATATAGATTTTATCGAATGAATTTTTCAATATGGATGGTTTTCACTACGACATGACCGATAATGGTTGCCAAAACCTTTGTTCGTGTGTTGTGTTTACACAGCAAAACTATTTTTTGTTTTTTTTGTTTTGGCTTAGTGGAAAAAAAACGCAATCTGATGTTTGGTCCATGTGTTTGGCCTAAACCACCATAATCGCTCCTATTATCGAGCAAATGTGTGATTCCAATTTTTCCATCATACATGAACGAACGGGCATATACTCCAGAAATGGGCCATTTAATGGTCAATGGACCGATTTTTTATAAGATAGCTTCCGGCTTCCGCATAAAGAAATATAAGTAGTAAGAAATTTTACCCTAGCAGAGGGTAAGAGCTTTCCACGATGGGAAACTTCCAAAAAAGTATATTTCCCCAATGATATCGAAAGATTTAGAATTTTTATATCACGTGTTCAATTATACAACATGCAAACAATATTTTAAATCGTGGATGCAAGCTTTTACAAACTTCCGTCCACTAGTTGGCAATTATCATGCATGACGACATCATATGTAATAGCTAGGTTAAATTGTGTTTTTTTAGATATTGAATTCGTCTATGTCATAAAATAGCCATAAACCTAAATTATAGAATTCTAATCTCATGTGACGGTGGAGTAGGGATCATATGAAGAATGAAGGGTTACTGTTAGAAGACTTCGTCAATGGTTGAAAAAGTAATTAGGCGGTGACATGGAGTTCGTTATGCTCCACATCTAACCTTTACGTCATCTTCTTCTCCACGACTCCAAGTTGGTGTTCGGTTTGGTATTCGGTATTCCTCAACTTATTGAACCCGGTTCTTGTTCCTAATGTGTCAACATCTTTTATGGCATATCTCCAACTCCAACATATTATGGAGAAGAACATATTCTATAGTATTCGGTCAAATTAGTTATATCTCCATCGAGAAAATAGTTAGATTTTTTTTGATAAACTCTATCGGTTGATTCGGTCAGTCCCGGTAGAAACACACCGAAGTGCTTCAGAGTGGACTTCTCCCCAAAAGGCTACCACACTGCCTGTCCTGAGTTTGAAATGTTTTCCGACTAATATCAGGAGGTAGCCAAATCGCGTGTTACTGGACTACCAAGTAAACTTTTGGCCCAAACCCAGACTTTCCACACAGATGTGTTTTTTGTTTCCAACGTGGATCAAACCTGGACTAGTTAGATATCCTACAACTTTATTTGCATAATTCTTGAAAAAACCACCAAAGAAAATTGAATGATATTTCGATATTCGACCCCTCCTACTAAAGCCATATTGTGTTGTACATGGTATTAAACATTTTAACCAGAAAAAACAAAAAATTAAAGGACATGACAAACTTGATATGAACTACCAAAAAACCTTCTAAGCACCATTTACAGTTGTTAGGTTGTTCATTGAAACGTGGGAAAATGATATTCCGTAATAAGCCTTCAAATTTTGTCTAACTATTTTTAGTAAAAAGCTATGTTGCATGGAAATTCTCTTCGAGATCCGTTTCCCGTTTCCGAAACGTTTCGGAAACGGAAACTATTCGGAAACACGAAAAACGTCATGTAAACGTGTTTCCTAAAAATCTATGTTTGGAAACTCACGTTTCTAAAATGGAAACGCGACAAATATTTTTTTATTGACTTTGGAAACTTAATAAATAAAAGTTGAAAAGATTAAAATTTATAATACATATAACTAATTTTGGAAGACTCTGAGTTTTAAGATCTTTTTATCGACAAACTAGATTTAGAGGCATCTTTATATGATTCTACGATGAAACTAATGAAAATGAAAATGAAAATGTTTGTCTAAATTAAATATTTGAACTTGAACCTTTTAATCTTTTTTCTTTTAGAATTTTAGTTAACCTATTTAATATTTGATGTTTTAGACTTTATTGTTTAATTAAACCATTTTTATAGTTTTATGCTAATATTATATATATACATATATTATATATGTGTACACGTTTCCAAAACGTTTCCAATCCCTAATTTTAGAAAAAAATCGTTTCCCGTTTCCGAAACGTTTCGCTTCCACGTTTCCGTTTTCGTTTCCATGCAACATAGGTAAAAAGTAAAAAACAATTTTCTCAATTTTGGTGTATTAAGTGAAAAAATCACCTCAAGTCCTCAACGTTTTGGTTTTAACAAATTCGTTTCGTGTAGATGGATGAATTAAAATGGACTTGATCAAAGTTGAAAGACTTTTTCGTTGTATTCTCTTTATAACTTAGGAATTTCCGTTACGACAATTATCTTCAAAACATTCTATTTCACTTACAAGAAATAATAGGAACTAAATAAATAATTAAAATAATGCTTTTAACAATTTCAAGGTTCAAAAATAGAAGCTTATAGAAAGTCAACCGACTTCTTTTTCTTTTTGTTGTTGAAGAAGTCAACGGACTTTTTTGGGTTAAAGAAGTCAACGAACTTTTAATGCAATAAACAGACCAAATCAAATTGTCAATGAATTCTATTCAACACACTCCAAAATCTAAAAAAAAAAAATACATTCAATCAACAATGTAAATCCCAAGCACACCAAGGGATTTAAAGAATCAAGCTTTTATCAAACTATTGTCTCTGCATTTCACTGGGAAGAATTTGAACCTGAGAGACACCAACAAATTCATACAAGAGTACCCTTTTATGATAGGATCACTAGGCCGAGATAGAGCGACGCGCAAAGAAACGCAAATGAAATCATTCCCCTGAAATGGAAACAAAGTGTTAGAATAAGGATTTCATTTTCACTTTCAGAATCTGATAACTGAGAGTTGTATTTAAATCTAACCAGATGACACCCCAGCCACAACCGGTACAGCAAGGACAGATCTCTGCAAACTTCTCAGCGTCGCTCGAATGGACCCTCCGAGATATCAAATCATCATAGATATCTAATATCCATACATCGCAGCCACATTATTATTGGTCATAAGTCATAACTTTTAAGTGAAGTAAATGGGACGAAGGAATTACATACCGTAAACTGAGAATAAGCTATTCATCACACCTGTAACATTGTGAATCCCAATTTTATATAGGCTAAATGAGGCTGAATGATGTTAACAAGAAGGAGAAGAGTTTAATGGTATCTTACCAATGAACAGAATGACATAACGGAGAATTTTGACTGTAGTTAACTCTTGTAGAACCCAGATGATAGCGAGGAAAACTATGAAACCTGATATTTATATAACTATGTAAGGCTTTTGGGTGGGTGCTTACTAAGAAAATGTAACAAGAGGATTCGTGAGACAACACACCTATACAAAGACCTCGAAGAGTCCACTGTCAAAATTGAAGATCTCAGTATTTGATGTTAATGAAATAAAACTTTGTTAGATAAGAGAAATAATGACTTCTTCTTACATTTTTGGCAATGAATAGGACGATGAATAAAGCAAGACCCAGACCAGCAGCAGCTATTCTTGCTGTCAGCAGATTGGTAGATGCAAGAATCAATGCCATTCCCCAAAATGATGAGCCAAGATCTATAACCAATTCAACAACAAAAAGGCTAAGACTAAATTCGAAAAATAATGGATTTGTATAAGTAAGATATATAGATAGATTGTGCATTACAGCCAGCAGGTAAGATCAGCCAATAAATGCCACCACGTGTTGTTGTCGAACCCCCTTCATTTGCATTCACCTCCATCCCCTCTACCTTTTGATTCAATAAGAAGTTAATTAACCAAAATGAGTG